TAGTGGCTGGATGAAAGAGAAAATATAATGAAATGCATCAACTTATCTTTTATTAAAATGATAACAACTGAAATCCTATTGCATAAAAGAAATCCTAACATTATTCTAAAAGAAATTCTAAAATAATAAGAAATTTCCAACCAGCCTTATCATCACTCTCTCAAAATTTTACCCTTGTGCAGTGAAAGATTTTATTAACATTTTATCCCCTAATTCACTGTAACGCTCTAAGCCTTTTCAGATTAACGTGTTCTTGATTCTCACTTAGAGCATTGACATTGTGATTAGGTAATGGATTATAACTAACATTAGGTGTTGTTGCTCTTCTTTGATCAAAACTTATTATCATATCCTTGATCAACTGCTGCACTTTATACTTTAGAGCAATGTAATTTTTAGTGGAATGGCCAGTAATTTCATAGTGGTAGTCATAGTGGACTGTAAGATTATACCACTTGAGATAGGGTGGCTTAAGCGACTCCACACAGCTGGGGGCAATCAAGTGGTTATTATAGAGTTCTTGGTATAACTTTGTATAAGTCATGGGGATTTGATCAAATACGAGTTTTTCTCAAGTAATTCATTACTCTCATAAACCACTTACTAGGCTAATAGGATGAATTTAGGGTCTTACAAAAGGTTAAATGTTAAGGCTGTATGTGAGAGCTTAAGGGCTAAAAATAAGCTGGTATATGGATGAGTAAGATGGTTGTGGTATATGCTAGTATGAGGTATTGTTCACAACAGAATAGTATAAAAAGTAACCATGTGGTGGATAGGGTTGATATTCCTTAAATTATTTGTCGAAGTTCATAGCTTGAGCTTTAGTCTCTTTCTTCTCTGATGCCTTCTTGATTTCTCTTTCTTTTAACTTACCATTTTTAATGACATTCTCAATGATTTCACCTGAGATCATAATGTCAAAAAAAATTTTTGTTGCATTCCCTATCATCTTTTCATAATAAAGAGATTCAAAGTACTGATAAATAACACCGTGATTTTTTTCTCAGTCAAGGGAGGTTGCACCTGAGTAACCATGTCCCTTTACCTCTGGGCATATTCTTTGAATGATTTAATTTTTTTTCCATATTTTATAAGAAACGACAATCAATGGCTAAATCTATGATATGTCAGTATTGATTGATGAAGTCATGAGCTACATCACTTCAAGAATGAATACAAGTCTTATTCAGCTGGACATACCACCTAGTAACAGAGCTAGTGAGGCTATCTTGGAATATATGAATCAATAACTTCTCATTATTAGCATAGGTGGCCATGTTTCGATAGTACATAGTAATGTGAGTTTTCAGACACTTTGTACCATCATATTTTTCAAACTCTGAAACCTTGAATTTTGGAGGAATAATCACATCTAGGACTAAACAAAGTCCAGCAACATCCACTAAATCATAAAAATCGATACCCTTTATGACCCGTAACCTTTCCTCCAATAAGTTTATTTTTTGTTAAGCTTTTGAGCCTTCTAAAACCTCATTTTCTTTTGGCTTTAGCTTTTCTTTCTCTTCTAGATCATCTAAATTAGGGACTGATATTGGTTCTACTGCATTCTCAGTAAACACAGGATTTATGTAGCTCTGGTACTATGACAGATTTGAAATTGATGGCATTTCAGGGTATGTGTATACCCTACAGGATATGTGAACTGCTAGAGCAATGGACCTTGTGCGGGCTAGGCTTGATGTGGCCCAAAACCAGAAGGGTACAATGGATTATTCACCTTTTATGATGGATTATCTTACTAGCTAGTATTTCTTTATATTCTTTTTCCCTTGTTCAACTTGTTTAAAGCCTCAAAAATCCTATTCAACTCTCTTTCTAGCTTTTCTTAAACTTTTTTTATCCTCTCGAGACGATTGAAATTTTCTTGTTCCATTTGTCTGACTCGAGCCCTTGTATTGTATTGGTGAGTGGGGTTCTTGCTTGGTGGTGCTATCTTTGAACCTTGAGCACCACAATTATGATAAAAAATACTATGCTTTATGCATGATATTCTGATGCATAAATGGAATATGTATTTTCATGGATGTAGGTATGAAATGTGGCAAATATTCCCTATATGAAAATGGCACAAATGATAATGTTAAAACATGAGTATGAAAATGATGCATAGAATGAAATGAATATAATGCACGTAAATGATATGATAATATGAAAATGATGCATTAAATGAAATGAAAATGATGCAGTTGCACAAAATCAAGCAAACAAAATAGTTAGATCACAAACCGTTCCTTCTTGTGTCTTAATTTTTGGTTACATTTATTGATGGGTATGAATGGCTCTATCTTAAGGCTGGCCTTTTAAGGGTGAACTATATGTAGGGTTAGGTGATTTTGACCACTAAAGGTTCTCAAATTGTTCCTTACATCATCGTCTATTACAAACTAATAAGGCATTCCAATCTTCACCCATCACAGGCTACCAACGGAAAGAATTCAATTTGAGTGGGAGTATTTCATTAGCCATTGCGAAGATTATCATCTCATGAGAGCATAGGTACTTTACTCATTCCTAAAAAGGACGAAGCTTGGGTGTAGAGCTCATGTAATGCTGTATGTGTTAGTGTGTGTGAAGGAACGTATAGGTTTCATACCCCAAGATAAATAAAATAAAAGGAAAAAAAGGAAAAAATGTTAGTAAACAAATAATTACAATTTAAGACCATTAGACCAAAAGATAGGATAACTTCAAAAATTATGGTTTGACTCTCTAGTATCTCCAGTGGAGTCACCAAACTGTCATAACATATAGATCTATAAATCTATAGCTAGATTTAATAAAATGGATGGAGTTGCCACCAATCTTTTTTACTAGATGTGATTGGTCACCTAAGGAATCATTCCTTTAAAAAGCTCCTAAGCTTAACGAAAGATCTCTAAAATAATAGGTTCAGGTCTACTAACCAAAACAAAGTTTTGAAGTTAGGTTACATGTGAAAAAGGTTATAGCACCCTCACATGCTCGTCCGAATGATGTTATTATATTATTTTAAATTTATCCTATGTTCTTGGTTCTAATGGTTTTAATTTTAATGTTGAAATATTGGAAATCATTTTTAAGACTCCCCATCAATCTGGTAGAATTCTTAAAAATATTTTCTCACCTCAAGAGTATTCAAGAATCCTATTTGATTTCTTGAAGAGACTCTGTCGTCGAAAAAAGTTTAGTTATTTTTGTTTTGACGAAAATATGTCTAATTATTTTACCATTTGGGTCAAATTAGAAATATTTTTTTTGAATTTCTAAATTCTTCACCATTTGAGCCTATTTAGAAATTCTTTTTATTTTTTTTTTTGGAAAGAAAATAATATGATAATTATTTTTATTGAAATTTCATTTAAATTAGTCCACCATTTGGGACCAATTTAAAGAAAATCTCACATAAAGATTTTTTAAAAATTTACCATTTGAAATTTTTAAAAATTCCATCCTTGAATAATTGTTAAATATTTTCAACCCAAATTTTTTATTTTTTATTTTTTTGTTTGAAAATAAATATCAATTACTATTATTGAAATTTTATCTAAAATATTCCATCATTTGGAATAAATTTAGACAAAATTTCTCACCTAAGAATTTTATAGAAATTTACCATTTGAAATTTTTATAAATTTCATAATTGGATAATTAATATTTATTCCTAAAAAAAAATTGTTTTACCTTTTTTCTATTTTTTCTTTTTTTTTGAATTTAATCATGCAAAAATACTAAAGAATAAACACATAAAAATAAATAAAAAAACTCAAAGAAAATACCAAAAATGGTTCAGCTTACGACTATAAAGCGACTTTGCTTCAGAAATAAAAGGTGGCTCGGAGGTGCGGCTCAGCGACTCGGTTTGCAGCTCGACTCAATTGGAGTTGAAGGGAGGGATGCAAGTTGAAACGGGTCGAGCGCTCGGATTAGGTCGCCCAACGACAAAACGCATGGATCCTAGAAAGTTACTTAATGCCAAAATGACGTCGTTTCGGGGTCCTATATACGGCCAAATCTCAGCTTATTTTCGTTAGATCTCCTATGCTTCCCTTTTTCTCTCCCTTTCTCTCTAAATCCTAAGAACATCGGTTGAATCATTCACTAGATTCTAGGATTGCTATCGGAATCTAGGTAGGTTCGTCGAAATTTGGCCAGACATTCATTGGTTTTTAGAAAGTGGATGCCGAAAACTAGAAGCTCCACCAGAAACTAGAGATGTCACCAGAATCTTGCTAAAAAATTTGATTGACATAAAAAAATTCAATCGACACCGAAAAATTTCATCGAAATTTGAAAATTTTTTAAGAAATTTTCAAAAAAAAATTTAATTTTTTCATAAAAATTCCCTGAACAATCTTCCACACTTTCTAACTGTTTTTTTTTTTTGTATTTTTACGTGTGTGTGATTTATGTTTTAGTGTCTTTTTACCTTTATAACCTATAGTAAAAAGAGTTTCTGATCGATCATAAATCTCACTTTTAACTAGATTTTCACCTTATCCCTGAATCTGAAAAGATTAAAATCAATTGTGATTCTGTCAGTATCTCATACACGACAAAATCTTTTTTTTTATTCCAAAAATAAAATTAAAATTAAAATGAGAATAAAAACAAAGCAAAGCCAAATAATAATAATAATAATAATAATAAATAAATAAATAAATAAATAATTAGGTTTGACTTCTTAGACCCTGATGAGTAAGATCCAATGAGTTGAGGTCCACACCCTATTAAACTAGATCCAACAAGCTTGGAGCTTGGATTCGGACCAATTAAAATGTCTGTACTCGTTAAAACATTTGAAACTTTATCAAAAACTGGTTTAGCTCACCAAAAGTACAGATCTTTGCATAAAAAAAAAAAAAAATCACGACCCAAGACCCAAACTGTATAATCAAAATATTATTATAACATTATTCAAGCATACATTATATACTAATAACACAAAAGAAAAGAAAAGAGTTATAAATTAAAGGAGAAAAATATGGAATTATATATACCTAGAGCTGCTGCAAAACTCATAGAGCTTGCCACGGTTCGAAAAAACGATGAGAGCAACCTCAGCATCACAGAGAACTGAGAGCTCATAGCCTTTCTTAAGCAACCCATTTCTTCTCTTTGCAAATGTAACTTGCCTGTTGATTTTGTTTTCTATTCGCTTCAACTCATCTCTCCCTCTCCCCATATTTGTTTTTCCTTTCTCACTAACTAAATTTTCTCTCCTCTCTTCACCCTTTCTAGTCTTGGCTAAGATGTAAGAGAACTTTTTGTGGGTGAAGAGTTAATGGTAAGAGAGAGACACAGAAAATAGAGAGATTGAATGGAAAAAACCTGGGAATGAAATGTCAAGTCATTTGTACACATAATGCTAAGCTTTTTTATGTTTGATATTTTTATCTTTGCATTTTGTTCAGTATTAACTTTCAATCACGGCAAACAAAATTAACATTTTTTTCACTGTATGCAAAAAAATATTTGTATAACACTAGCTCTCTCACATGATAACACTGGCTATTTAATATTAAATATTTATAAAATAAAAAATTATTATATTATATTTTGTATTAACATATCAATTTAAATAAGAAATACATTTTTTATTTTTTAAAAATTTATATACAATTTTTATTAAAATTTTAAATAATATAATTTTTTTTATTATTTTCATATCATTTCATCGTATTATATTTAAAATTATAAGAATCCATCACTTCATATACTGACATTACTTATACTACTTGAATTATGTAAAGATAAAAAAAATAGAAAGAATATAATTTAATAAATTTTTTTTTTTCAAATGACTTTATTTTCTTGCATAGTTTAAATTTTGGACATAATAATTATATATTATTTAACAATTTCAATATCATTTAGCATTAAAAACATATGATTCGATATATAATTTTTTATTAAAAGAAACAAACATTCAATTTTTTTAAATCAAAATAAAAGAAATCATATAAAATAAATGCATTAATTTGGGTAAAGAAGGCAAAATATGAAAATATGCGTGAAAATATCACTAATATTTTTTTCCTGTTCTTTTAAATATATTGTGCAATACTAAAATTTAAATTTGCATTTGTTTTTTTTTTTTATATATATAAACACATTTGTTTTTATTTGTTTCATTACTTTGTCCGTACTTTAAAATGTCCAATGGACTTCAACCCTATTTTTTAAAATAGATAAACTTTTTATATTACAAGTGTCGAGTTCTTATTGGAAGGTCACTGTTGTGCTGTTGTCTACTTTCCCTCTGTAGCCATTTTGTATTAATCTCTGCTTTTTGCCCTTATATTAGTTTATTCTGCACGGATGAATTGTATGATACGTTAATATTAATATTTAAAAAAATTTTTATTAAAATAATATAATTTTTAATTTTTAATAATAAAACTAATAATTTTTAATAATTTATGTAAATTTTACAATTATAATTAAAGAATTTGTTTGAATATTATTCGTCATTTACAATTATCTTATTCGTTATCGTTTACTAACTATCCAAAATTTTTCCTAACAATTTTATTTTAAAAATATTTTCAGTCTAAAAGAATTCAACATGATAACTTAAATTATGGGCTAACCTCCTAAGCTGATATAATTTCAAAACTTAAATATATAATTTCAATCAAGTGTTATAAAGATGATTATATTTGTAAAAAATAAATAAATTTTATCCTTTATTAATTAACAATCATAATTACGAAATTTACTATTATATTATTCATCATTTACTATTATTCTTAGAGTAGAGGAGCAGAGTGGCTGACGTGGCACTTTGAAGACTTCTTTTTGACTGATTAATGAGCATTTGGATCACCAAAAATGAAGTTCAAATCCTCCTTGAAGAAGAGAAAGCAGCTGCTACCCATGAAGATTAGAGAAAGTGACGGGTTGCACTTCCATTATCTAATTGGCAGCTGAGTTGGCCGTTTGGAGTTCTCCCATTGGTCCCAACACCACATCATTTGTCTATAAATAGCTTCGGTAGCTACTGTTTGAAAGAGAGAGGTCTGCGGAAGCGTTAGAGTAACTTAGAGAGCTCATTCGAGTAGGATTATATTAGTAGTGTAGATTTATTTTCTTGCACATTTTCTTTTATTTTCTTTTTATTCAAACAACATTTTTTTAATTATTTTTTTAAATTTTCCAGCATTTTAATGTTCTTTTTACTTGGTTTTTTACATTTACTTAATGTTCTTTGCAAGTTTATATTTAATTTTCTTGTAATTTTCTTTCAATTGAACTGAATTTTATGTTCTTGCAAGTTTTTGTTTTCCTTACTTTATTGACTGCCGAACACTTAATTTGTTTGAACTTTTTCTTTTCAATTATTTACCTTTGAAGTTCTTTTCAATTTCCTTTAATGTTCTAAGCACTTTTACATTTGAATTTACATCATTTGAATGTAAATTTACTTTAATCTTCATTGTTGTTTTAAATTCCTACTCTGATGTACCTTCATTGTTTTCATCTTTTCACGATGATTTTCTTGTGCCTTTGTTTTATTTTTACTGAAATTTCTTGAATTTTTAATTTACGTTTTTGCAAAATTTCACTTTTTTCTACATTGCTTGCTAAAGACACCCATTTTGTTTTTTTTTTTTCTTTTTCTTTCACTTTTTCTTTTGCTTCTTTTTTTCTAGTAACTTTTTTGGCAGCCGCCTAACAGTCACCGGTAGCCATTTTAACAGTCGGTGGCCATTATAGTCTTAGGCCACCAAAATTTCAGATTTTGATCTTCTTTTTACTCTATAAATAGAACAATGAAACTAGTAAAAAATGAAATAGGAGAAGAGAAAATCCCTAAAAAAAATAGATAAAAAAATACTTTGCCTGATTCCCAAAAAAAAAATGCTTTCTGTTAAAAAAAAAGGAAGGAGATCCTAAACACAAAAAAAAAAAGAGTTTCCAGAATATAAAAATTCTTCCTGCCAAAAAAAAAAAAAACCCATTCTAACAAAAATTGCAGTCCTCACCAATTGGCGAGGAACCTAGCACCAAACAAGACCTATAAAAACAAAAAAAAATTAGTTTTAGTAAAAAAAAAAAAAAAGATCGAAACTTTAAACTTCGATCTACATCGATCGAGCTTGTTTTCTGTAAAAATGAAGTCAAATCTGATGAAAGGGAGTTGATGAAAACGTTCTAGTATTTTTTGGATATTTTTCGATCACCGGCAATGATGGCCGACGCCGATGGCGACGACAATTGCAGCGAGTCATCGACCTGTAGACGCCCCTTACATTGGGGTTAAGAGAGAAAAAAATAGGGTTTTTTTTTCTGAGTGAAGACAGAATAACTAAAAAAAAAAATCTTGGGCCTTTTATAGAAACTAAGAAAAGCCAAAACGACGTCGTTTCAATAAGGATCAAAGCGATGTCGTTTTGAGCCCAGGATTCGTGCGTCAGCTCGTGACTCGACTCGGAGTTCGTGCACCCTACCCGACGACCCGCTTCACCTTTAGCTTTTGATCGGTTCATCTGAATCGAAATCGAATCGCTGAACCCGAGCAAAATCGATGCTGAATAGTTAAATTAGACTAAATCGCCAAACTATTGGACTGACGTTGATTGGACTGTTGACCGATCCGATTCAGGTAAAAAAAATTTTTTTTAATTTTTTTTAATATTATTTTTGTTACTTTAAATTTTATTATTAATATTTATGCATGTTAAAATATTTAAATTTGCTAGAATAAATTTTTGTTGTTTTATAATAGTAATAAATAAAGATATATAACGAAATATATTGTTAAAATTTTTATAATTCTATTATTTTTTAAAATAAACCTAATAACATAAAAATTAATAAAAAATGTAAGAAAAAAAAAATTTTATCTGACGATGAGATTCAAAGGTACTTCAAGTAGTGATACCTACAAAATCTTTAGATGAGAATATTTTTTTAAAATACTACCAGTATATTAAAGTATTTATAAAAAAAAATTTAATACAATAAAGTTTTTTTTATAAAATAGTAAATATTAATTAATAAATTAGTAATAAAGTGATAAAAAAATAAGAAAAAAAATTTTATCCGATAATAGGATTCTAAAAATATTTTCAAGTAGAGATGCTTTAAGAAATCCCTAAGTGAAAAGTTTTTTTTATATTATCAGTGTATTGAAATATTTATAAAAAATCTTCAATATAATAAAAATTTCTCTTTTCTTCAAAGTTTTTTTAAAAAATAAAAAATAATAAAATTTCTAAATAAAAAATAAAATGTGTGCATTAACATATTAGCATTTTTACATTGCATGCACAACATCGTTTTTATGAAAAATAAATTCGAATCTTCGAGAATGAGATTCTAAAGTATTCCGAGAAACGATGTCTAAAAAATCTCTAGGTGAGAAAAAATTCTCTTAATGTTATCAACGTATTGGAACATTTTAAGAATTATTTTGATAAAAGGCTTCTAATTTATTTTTCTCCAATAAATATGAAACAATAAATAATAAAAGGTATAAAAAAAATAAAAATTTTGATAAACAAAGGAAATTGAGAAAATTATTTTTAAACATCGAAAAAAAGACTATTTTTACCAAAATCAATGGATAACACATAGTTAATCGGTACCGTTTTTAACGGACATTGTGGGGGTGTTAATCCTTCCCTATACGTAATTGACTCTCAAACTCAAACTGTTTCGCATACTATAAAATTATCTTTTTAATAAATTTTAATTAATTTTAAAATATTATTAAAATGATAAATTTTAATCGGTGGCTAATTGCACCTAGCCAAAAAAGATTGGTGATGACCCCCTTTTATTTTCATTTTCAAATTAGTCGAGCGAACACAAAACCGTTACGATAGCTTGGCGACTCTACTGAAAATGCCATTTGTTTTCGAGAGTCAGGCCAAAATTAACTACGTGTTATCTTTAAATTTTGATTTAAACAGTCTTAATCAATATTTAGTTTTTAATTCATAGATTCTTTTCACTTTCAATAAAAAGAAACCAAACAAATAAAAAACAAACCAAAAAAACGAAAAGAAAAATTTTCATATGCATTTCTTTTATTATTTTTTTCGTATATATTATTCTCAATAAATTAGAAAACATATGCACACACAATGACATAATGCATTTCATACATGAGCTTTATACCCGGGCTCCATCCCTTATAGGAGAAAGTAAAGTACCTATGCCTTCGTGAGATAATAA